CCGCACGCGGAGCTGCCCCGGCCCCCCAGGGTGCGGGACGCCCGTGCTCCTGCGTCCCACGGGAGCGGGGATGCTGCAGCACAGCCAGTCCTTGCTCCCCAAACCGGGATGGGGGGGTAGAGCAGCCCTGGGGACCGGCTGACCGCGGCTGGAGCAGATGGGGGAGTGTGGGGCGCGCGACCCCCACCCCACTGATGGTGCAACATGTGCTTGTGCGCACGCTGCGCCCACACCCGGCCCCGTCGGAGGGGCCCCTGCCTGCCCTGCCTGCCCTGCCCGCCCCGCTCGCTGCGGGAGGCGCTGGCTTTTCCCACGCCCCGCCAGGAGCCCGTGTGAGCTGGCGGGGCTGTTTCGCAGCCCGCTCCGGCAGGGGCCTGCACCCTTGGGGTGCCCCGGCTGGGACACGAGGTGCGGGGGCTGCAGCTGGCCGGGGTCGGGGCCGGGGCCCATCTGCTGAGACAGGATGCGGGGCCGGACGGGGGACACAATGCGGGGAAGCGACGAGGGGCGAGCGGGGACAGGGACATCCCGCAGCGGCACTGCCAGACTGGTCCCGGCACACGCAGAAACGGCGAGTCGGGTCGCAGCCCCAGCTCTCCCGGGCACCTCGGTGTGCTCAGGGGAGCTGCCGCAGCCGTGTCCCGGCAGCCCAGGGGGGACGGAGGCCGGTGCCGGGCCCGGGGGCAGCTCCGGCTCCTGCTCGCCCCTCGCGTCCCCCCGCCGCACCCTGCACCTGCCTGGCCCGGGGGGCCCTGCCTGCAGCAGCCTGTCCGCGGGCAGCCGGGACGCGAAGGAGCTGGTTGGGCCGGGCGTTGGGGTGGGAGCGGGGTCCGCTCAGCCCACACAGGTGTGGCCGCGCCGGCTGCAGGCAGGGAAGCTCCGCGCCCGGCTGGCCCCGTCTTGCTGGGTGGCAGCAGCCTCCCGCGCCGCTCTCCACCCCGGGGCAGGCAGGCACACCCCGTCATTACGCCCCACAGCAGCTGCCGGCGCTGCCCGGGCAGGGAGGGGGTGGCGGGGGGCAGAGCCGGCTGGCACGGCCAGGTGGGGTCGAGGACGGGAGCCGGCCTGGCCAGGTGGGGAGGCCAGGTGGGGACGGGGATGGCAGGAAGCCATCGCCTACCCGCTGCGTGGCCCTTGCCTGCCGGGGGGACGAGGGCAACGGGGGGCACGTGTCCCCTCCCTGCGTGGGACACTGCAGGGGCACCCCGAGCCCCGCGGTGGCCCCGGCACATGGGGGGAAGCAGACGGGGTCAGGCTCAGCAGCTGCTTGGGACGTGCCCCGCGGGGCCACGGCGCACAATGACCCCATTGAGGTCCCGCGGGGCGGCGGGGGGGCACCCAAGGTGGCGGTGGCAGAAGTGACTCCAGTGTCACGCCAGGCCTCAATCCCTGCTATTTATACCCAGCGGAGGGGCGGCCGCTCAGCACACAGGCGGCCTTTGAGGGAGCGGGGATGAAAACTGAAAATGTTGCCGTCCCCTCCTCCCCGCCGCACACCGGGGCATCCCCGAGGGCAGCCGGCCCCGGCCCCCCGCTGCCCGCGCCCA